AAGGGGCCTCGAGAGGTCATCGAGTCCAGTCCCCTGCCCTCATGGCAGGACCAAATACTGTCTAGACCATCCCTGACAGGCATCTCCTCACTTTGATGCACCCGCTGGTGTCTTTCCTTTCTAGGGTCACCAAACACAACCCTCCAGGTGCACGTGCTCTGCCTTAGCTTGGGCTACTTCCTCTTTGACCTGGGCTGGTGCGTATACTTCCAGGCAGAGGGGGCACTGATGCTGGCCCATCACACGGTGAGCATCTTGGGAATCGCGGTGTCTCTGTCCCTGGGTGAGTCGGCCGCTGAAGTCAACGCCGTCCTCTTCGGCAGCGAGATCACCAACCCGTTGCTGCAGGCCCGCTGGTTCCTGCGGGAGACAGGACTGTACCACAGCTTCACGGGGGACGTGGTGGATTTCTTCTTCGTGGCCCTCTTCACGGGCGTGCGGATCGGGGTCGGGGCCTGGCTGATGTACTGCGAACTTGTGTCACCCACACCCAGGTGGTTCATCAAGGTGGGAGGAGTGATCATGTATGTGGTTTCCTGGGTTTTCATGGTCAGCATTTGCCGCTTTGCTAGGAGGAAAAGCATGAAGAAATACCATGCCTGGCGAAGCAGGAGGAGCGAGGAGCTGTACTCGGAAAAAAATGGTCATCTGAAGAGTCATTAAGCATCGGGACTTCCAAGTTCATTGCTGGGATAATGCTGTGGATGCCGTAGGTGCAGTAGGTCTGGGGTACAGTACCTGGAAGAGACTGGATCAGAGGGGTGTATGTAGATGTACAGCAAGCTTTGTGAGTCAGGAAAGGGCTTAATTTACAATTAAAGCTGCAGCATAGATATAAATAATGGAATTAGTGGCTGCCTCCTTCAGCATTAACATAATCTTGAAGGAGATAAGATCTAGCACTAGATCTCAATGTACTGTCCGGTGCAGGCACCTAGTGTGGCTCCGATTCCCTGTTCCGAAGAGGTGTGGTCCAGTGGTTGGTGTAGGCAAAGTAGGAGTCAGGATTCCTGGCTCCCTGCCACGGACTCTCAACTTAGCTCTTTTCATGCCTCAATCCCCTCGTCTGTAAAATGGGAATAATGAGGCCAAACCACCTCTGTCAAGCACTTTCAGTTCCTTGGATGAAAGGGATTCTATACATGCAAAATGTAGTACAGGTTGAACCTCTCTAGTCCGATGCCCTTGGGACCCGACCAATGCTGAACCAGAGAATTTGCCGAATTGCAGGAGATCAGTATTGTCTAGCAGCATTACCAACATTTCCACTGCTCACTGGGCTCTTAGAAGACATTTAGGGGCAAATTAGAGCTAAATAACAGCACAGAACACTGAGAGCCAGGACGGCTGGAAACAAACTTTATGGGACCACAAGAAACTTGGCCACACCCCTGCTAAGTGAACACCCGGCTAACTAACATCATGCCGGACCATGGGGTTGCCAGACAAGAGTGTGGGCCTAGCGATGTTCAACCTGTAGTTATTTATTATTATCTTAGCATTTCCTTTGGAAGAGAGAAGCTTGGTGATTGAGTCAGAATGCAAGTGCAGGGAAGATAGCAGGTAAATCCGTATTCCTTTTCTGCTGGTTGCTTTTATTTATTTATTTATTTATTTATTTGATGTTGTCGTCATGCCCATAGGTCCCAGTCAGAATCAAGGGCTTGTACAAACACATACAATGAGGCAGTCTGAGAGGCAAAGAGCTTACAGTTGCTTTTCCCCTCCTCCTCCCTTCCCCAGCTCACTTCTTCTCACCCTGATCGTTGCAAATGATACCCACAGTGTCGTTCTTGGTTCCCTTTCTGGTGGTCAGGTGGCTAAGTGCTCCCGTCACAAAAGGCCACATCAGTACGTGACTAGAGAGCTAGCCTCCCAGCTGGCTGGCTGCGGTGGTAGGCTGATCTGCCTGTGGAGACTGAATTTCCCTTTGCAATGCTTTCCGTCAGTCCAGAGACAGGGGCTGGCACAGACGCAGCTTGCTTTGCTGCTTCCCTTGCTCTGGCTTGTGGATAAGTGACAGATTTCGGCTTGTCAGAATGACATCTTCCACCAGCAGTAAATTAATTTAAAAACTAAATCCCTTAAGTCGGATGGGACTGGCAGCTCGCCGAGTAACAACCAGATCCTGACCTCATTTAACCTAAAGTAAAGGCCGTGCATTTCCCTGTGGATTGAAACCAGTGTATCTGAAACCAGAATCTGGACCAGCATTGCCTTTCTGATAGCAGGTTGACCTGCACAGGGGAGTGCCATGTCACTCACACTGCCTCCATGTACAGATTCTGCTGTGTTGGGGAAACTGTGTTGTAGTGTTTATCTTGCCGCAGTCTCTTAAGCACAATTTTATTTTGATCCTGGCCTTTTACAGGTGGCCTTCTATGCCACGCAGAAATCCATGGTTCATTATTTCAGTTCTGCGGTAGACGTCGCTTGTTGCAACCAAAGAACTCACCTGGAAATTGCCACATTCTGGCTTCAGGTGTACTGAGCTGGCAGAAAGGCAGGCCAGTCCTTAAAGGGAAACTCCTCCTGTTTTGCTCAGTGTAGCGATACAGATGTTCATTCTTGAAAGGACAGAGGTGGTTGTGGTTAGCACAGGTGAGTAGTGATCAGAACTCCTCAGCTCTATTCCTGGCCCCGGCACTGATGTGCGTATCATGTGACCTCTTTGCCACAGTTTACCCGTCTGTGAAATGGGTATAATATTGACCTACCTCCCATGGGGTTTCTTGAGGTTTATCATTAATAAAGCACTTTACCCACCTATGGTAGTGCTGTGTAAATGTAGATTTGTGATTTGAGAACTTTTCCCCATGGTATCAACTATTAACGGTAACTGAGACGAAACATTCTCACTCACACATGGCACTTCTCTATCCTTGGCTTACTCAAATCACAAAACTCCAGAGGGGTGCGATGTATGTGAACCCTGTTTATAAGCAGGATTCCGAGAGGTACCAGTAGATACCATAAACTGGAAATATATTTTGGGCCCATTCTTGCCATCTCTTCTCAGATAAAGTTCCTGTTTGATTAAAGCAAAGGTGTTGGGGTTGTTTGACCAAATGGAGACTGCAGAAGTACATTTGGAATCTTCCTACAGTGGCCTGAATCTGAAAATCTTCTCGATGTGGAGCTCCGTCAGTCGCTAAAGGGTTTGCGCAAGGAGGGCTTGCAGGAGGCAGTCTCGAGTGTGCTTAGAAGGAAGCCGAGCTTGGCATGTGCTCAGTGCAGTTTCTAGTTGCCAGCCAGGAAAGGTGATGGCTTGGATCGAAACCCAGATTATCAGAGAAGTGTGGCGTGCAGCTGCATTCACAGCTGATGCCGATCCATGCACAAACGGGCAGGTAGCCATGACGGTAGTGTCTGCAGTGGGCTCCAGGGCAGAATCGTGCACCCAAGGAGAGGGGAGATACCTTGCCATCTGAGTGAAGCCCCTGGTATGAGAGACTGTCCTAAATTACACTGAGTAGAAGGGCTACCCCATGGTGTCTGGAACTGCTGGGTAGGACTAGTGCGAAATACTAAGTTGTGTTTGAATTACTGTGTAATAATTACTGATGTTCCTCCGGTGGATGGTGTAGACGCTTTGTATTACGTTTTATAAAATAAAAGGCACTTTAACTATGGAAGGAAATGAGTCATGCTCGCTCTCTCTCGCTAATGCGGTTTCTCTTTTTGAAGGTAAAGTGCTGCCTACCAGACAAGTCAGCATGGCCTAGAATGGGTGAAATGTTTGCGATCCCTACCTACCAGTCAATGGATAAAGCATTTGAGCATGCCAGCCCTTCTCTGCCAACGTCTCAGTAATGGGCCTTGAGCAATTCTCTTTCCCACCACGTTTTTCCATGTCTCCATCTGTAAAATGAGGGCAAACTCCATGTCACAGGAGTGTTATTGGGAGAAAACAAGGAGGCTGTGTCTAGACTGGCCACTTTTTCCGGAAAAGCAGTTGCTTTTCCGGAAAAACTTGCCAGCTGTCTACACTGGCCGCTTGAATTTCCACAAAAGCACTGACAATCTCATGTAAGATTGTCAGTGCTTTTGCGGAAATACCATGCTGCTCCCATTCGGGCAAAAGTCTTTTTCCGAAAAACTTTTGCGCAGAAGGGCCAGTGTAGACGGCAGAGATTTGTTTTCCGCAAAAAAGCCCTGATCACGAAAATGGCGATCGGGGCTTTTTTGCGGAAAAGCGCGTCTAGCTTGGCCACGAATGCTTTTCCGCAAAAAGTGCTTTTGCGGAAAAGCGTCCTGCCAATCTAGATGCACTTTTCTGAAAATGCTTTCAATGGAAAACTTTTCCGTTAAAAGCATTTCCGGAAAATCATGCCAGTGTAGAAGAGAATAATGGTCCCAAGGCCAGTTGGACTGAATGAGGCCATCTGCAGGTCTCTGGGCCCACTCGGGTGGTTTTCAAGGGGTGGAGTCGGATCCACACACGGCCCCAGCAGTGTAGAAGAGCTGTGGTGGAGTCACAACTGGCAGCAAACTGTGCTGGCACAGCAACAGAGTAGAGCCAAGGCAAGCAATACTACGCTGCCTTGATACTTAAGACCCAGCATTGGACCTGGGAAGGGGAGGGTATTTGTAGCATTCAGCACTGCAGGAATTCTAGATTGCCTGCTATAGTCAGCCCTGAGGAAGCTGCTTTAGATATGAATGCTTCTCAGGGCTGTTCTAACTTATGCTAGGGGCCCAATGCCGTCCCTATAGCAGCCAGAGTATGGAGGGTACAAAGATGGTACAAAGCCAGAGGGTGTGTCTAGACTACAGGGTTTTTTCGAAAAAACTTCTAGACTGCCGCCGCGTTCTTTCGAAATTAAATCAAAAGAACACAGCGGTTTTTTCGACCGTGGCAAGCCTCATTTGACGAGGAAGAACGGCTTTTTTCAAAAGTGCTCTTTTGAAAAAAGGTGTTCTTGAACGCAAACAGGGCTTTTTCGAAAGACAGCATCCAGATTGCCTGGGTGCTCTTTCAGAAAAGCGTCTCACTTTTTTGAAAGACGTGATTGCAGTCTAGATGTACCCCTACACTCAAGCTTTGCTGTTTGGGTGGCATCTCTTTAAAAGGCACAGAGTAGAATCTAGCCCTAAGCTGGCAGAGAGAAAGGGGGGGGACATCAAGCAAGTGATGGGTGAAACAGTTTTCAGGGTACTCAGGATTGAGAACACTTAAAAAATAACGAATAGTCTTGCAGCATCCTAGAGACTAACGCTTAGGGTGCGTCTACACAGCAGGGCTGAACTCGAAATAAGCTGCACAAATTGAGCTACGTCAATTGCATAGCTTATTTCGAAATTGGGAGCGTCTACGCAGCACTTCTTTCGAAATAGAGCACTCTTCCCCCTGACTTCCCTTACTGCTCGTACCACGAGGGTTACAGGAGTCGGAGAAAGAAGGCCTCCAGCTTGATGGTATTTTGACATTATTTCAAAATAACTGCCTGCTGTGTAGACACAGACTAAGTCATTTTGAAATAATGTTTCTGTGTAGACATACACAGAGATTTGTCAGTCTCTAAGCCAGCGGTCTCCAGCCTTTTAAAGCAGGAGATCACTTTTTTAATTTAAGTGGAATCCAAGATCTACCTCCAACCCAAATACCCTGGCCCCGCCTCCTGTGTTTCCCTTCTCCGAGGCCCCCCCCTGCTCACTCCATCCTCCCTCCTTTTCACCACGCTGGGGGGCAGAGGATTGGGGCACAGGCTCTGGTCTTGGGCTAAGGGATTTGTAGTGTGAGAGGGGCTCTGAGCTGAGCTTGAGGCAGGGAGATGGGGTGCAGGAGGAGATTCAGGGTACAGTCTCCATAAAGGTGTTTGGGTCCAGGGAACTGGGGTTCAGGAGGGGATTTGGAGCTGGCTCAAGCTGGACACTGCTTACCTCAGGTGGCTCCTATATGGTGGTACAATGGGGCTACCTGTCCTGGCCCTGAACCACTCTCAAAAGCAGCCAGCAAACTTTCAAGTCCTGTTGTGCCGAAAGGGCAGCTTGCTGGGGCACAGGCTCTGGTCTTGTGTTAAGGGATTTGGAGTGAGAGGGGTTCTGAGCTAAGCTTAGGGCAGGCAGTCGGGGTACCGGAGGGGGTTCTAAGTGCAGGCTCTGGGTGGGTGTTTGGGTGCTCAAGGCTAGGGCAAAGGCTTGGCGTGCAAGAGGGGGTTCACGACTGGGGTAGGGTTTCAGGATGTGGGCTCTGACTGAGCATTGCTGACCTCAGGTGGTGCAGTGGGGCTAAGGCAGGCTCACCCCTGGCCCTGCAC